CCTTGCATATTTCAGTAAGACAATGTTAAATTGCATACTGCATCATTACACCATCATGGTTTGGTAGCAGGAGCCCGTGTGCTGAACTGGCCTGCCTGAAGTCCAGACCTGTTACCAACTAAAAACATTTGATGCATCTTGAAGCCAAACATCCTGCAAAGTACACAAATTCTGCAGAACAGCTATAATCCTACAACAAACAAGAATGGGACAATTTTCATTTAAAAAAACTCAAGAAACGTCTTTACAGAGTGCTGTTGATACGAGGGGACGCTTCACAGTGACTCTGTCACAACTTTTTTAGATGTGTTACTGCCATCATATTCAAATTCTATATATTTTTTCAACAAATACTACAATTTCTTAGATTAGACATTTATAACGCCATTATGTTGCATTGCAAATAAAATATGGATTTGCAAATAGATGCAGTCATTATTTATTTCTTTATTTGTGTTTTACATTTCATGCAATGTCTCAACTTTTTGGGATTGAAGTTGTAATGAAAGCTGTTTCTCAGATTGCCTCACTGAAAAACAAAAAGAAACCTTGAAACAATATGATTTGTGTTACTATTTGCATGTTACTGACAGTGGTTCCCAAGGTTGAGGTCTTCCCCAGAACAGTGACTGAAATGGAGGGGGGTAATATCAAAGCTGTGTGCAGCGCCTCGGGCTCCCCCTTTCCTGTGATCCAGTGGAATCCTGAAATGCTCTCAACCAACTTTGAGGTGAGATGGTTTACCCAACTGCCCTAATTGCATTGATGTATCTAACAAGTCCGGACATTTTATTTTAACATCATTTTTTACTTAAAATGTCCTCAATATTCTCCCGCTTTATCAAAGCAATTAGCTCTGAAGGAAACATTTCTAGTAGCACGGTGGCGCAACTGGTAGAGCTGCTGCCTCTCAGCGAGCAGGTCCCTGGTTCAAACCCCGGTCCAGGGGCCTTTCTGGGTGGAGTTTGCATGTTCTCTCCGTGCATGCGTGGGTTTTCTCCGGGTGCTCCGGTTTCCTCCCACAGACCAAAAACATGCATGTTAGGCTGATTGGTAACTAAATTGTCCCTAGGTGTGAGTGAGAGAGTGAATGGTTGTTTGTCTCGTTTGTCTCTATGTGTCCCTGTGAAAGACTTGCGACCCGTCCAGGGTGTACCCCGCCCCTCGCACAGTGATTGCTGGACATGGGCACCGGCGACCCCCGTGACCCAAAATGGAATAAGCGGGTAAAGATAATGGATGGATGGATGGAAACATTTCTATAGTTGCTGTTGTAGTTTTATGAAAGGGTTCTTTTAGAGGTGATGTTATAACTGCATCCTTTAGATAATTCGTTATACCAATCAGCTTTATACGTGAAATGTTGCATACTTTTGCACAGAACCTATAATTTACAGGATGATCTTGTGTTTTCAGATGGACCACTCAGGTACAGAGAGCAGCCTCGTATTGTCAGGCCTGTCTCCAGATGATAATGGCAAGGTGGTCGTATGCAGCGCCGAGAACATGGTCGGCCAGAACGAGGCCACGCTTCTGCTCAATATTCTCTGTAAGGGGTTCCATCATGACCTACAGCTTTAGAAATTATACACTGGAACGTTTAGTCTGATTTCTGTTGTGGTGAGCTTTTAAATGCCGTCTTCAGGAGCATGTTTTTGTATCCTGTGGCAAATCATATTGACTTTCTATGTTTCCTGTTCATAACTCTTCTTCCTGTAAAGCTCCCTATGCCTTACCATCCACTTGTTTAATTCCCCCCTTCTTCACGTTCTTCCATTTTATGTCATTAGAGTTTGAATGATGTTTGAATCCATCTCCTCTTCTTTTTTTAGTTTTTGCCATCTTCTTTCGTTTACTCTTTAAACCCATCAATGTTGCTTTTACTGGCTTTTGCTCCTAGTGTTTACCTCCTATCACCCCGTGATTACGCTTCCTCTACTGTTGCCTCCGTGTCAGTTCCCCCCACCATCCAGAACCTACTGCCTCCAGAAAGGGACCATCACTGGTGCATCCCCTTCACCGTGATGGGAAACCCCAAGCCCGAGCTGCACTGGTACCAAGATAACAGGCTGTTGCAGGAACAGGGCTTCATTCAAACCATGATTCACGAGTCCACTGAGAACGAGGACCACGGCTGCCTGCAGCTCGTCAACCCTACTCATATTCATAACGGCGAGTACAAACTGGTGGCAAAGAACGAATTTGGCCAGGATGAGAAGACCGTCACCGCCCAGTTCATCGATCCACCGAACTTCAACCATACAGGTCAGCATGTTGTGTATTCTTATTGGTTTATTGACAGGACCTTGAAACAGGATTCATACCCCTTGAGCTTTTCCTCATTTTGTCACGTTACTACCATAAACTTTAACATATTGAAATTTTACATGATGGACCAACACATAGTAGTGCAGCAATGCCAAATGGAAGGAAAATGATTCATGATTTTCAAAATCGTCTACAAATACAAATCTTATGCCCCTTTCCATTAGTACCTTTAGTACCGGTACAGCACGGTTCGACTTGGCTCGGCACGGTATGAGTTGTGTTTCCATTATACTTTCAGTAACAGCTCTAGTGGGTGGGATCAGAGTTCAAAAATTGACGTCATGCGCTTTACCAGCTTGTGGTGGTAATGCTGGTGGTAAGAACTTGAAACAGGTTTCAGAACAGGGTGAGAATTTATTTAGAAGTTTCTGGTACATTAAAAAGAAGACATATATATATATAAATCCTGATAATAAACTTTTAATGAACTGTAGTTCACCATTAAATCTCTGATGTACCAGGTTCTACAAAAACATCTATATTGAATTTTTATACATTTTCCTCATTATTTGATGTATTTGCACTCATGTCTACTTTTATTGTTCAATTTAGATATCTGGTTTTGTTTCTTGTTCACAGATATACATTTTATTTTTAGCTTTATTTTAAAGTTTTTGTGTGTGTGTGTGTGTTTTGTACATACGTATGTGGGTTAGAATAAAGTTGAATTAAAGGCTGTATTTCTTCTTTAAACATGTTTGAGGGAAATTTTCCTGAAAGATCCAGTAATTTTGTCTTTTTATGATTTTTTCAGCTGCGTTAACTTGAACAGATTATTTAATAGTCATTAAAGTGAAAACAGGATTTTATGATAAAGCCAGCACCGTTTATTTATTTATTTTTTAATCTTCACTGATTTAAAAAAATACATTTTTTTTTTACTACATAAAATGTTTTTTAAAATTGTTTCCACCCTCCGTCCCAGACCCGTCCTGGTCTGCTCCTTCCTGCTGGGACTCGGGGTCCGGCCTTCAGGAGCACGGAGGATCTTCCGTGGTGACCGGCAGAGCTCAGAGTCGGGGAGATAACACCCTGCCTGGCCTGAGAGGGCTCTGAGGCTCCGGTGGAGAGGACTGGGGGGACCGGCGGAGCTTCAACAAGCTCACTCTGAATTTAGTCGTCGTCCATCAAGCGCAAAAAATGCCAGCACTTCAGCATTAGACCACGGTGTTGTCATCATTGTTTTTAACATCTTAAAAATAGGTCGCTTCTCAAGTTCGGGTTATTGCAAATAGCGGATCGGGTTGTTGTGAAAGTTTCTCAAACAACCAGTGACTCCACCCCCTGACCAATCAGTGACCGACAGTGTTCTAGTGCAAGTTCGTCCCGCTTGGAACCCCAGATAAATGGGTCTTGAAAAAGGGACTGGTTCCACCAACCGTTGCTAGTGGAAAAACCTTGGAACCATAACATCGAGTCGAACCGTGCTGTACCGTTACTAATGGAAAAGAGCCATAAGTGTGGCTCAGTATCATGAAGACCAAGGAACACAACAGCCAGTCAGGGTTAAAGTTAATGAGGTTTAAAGCAGGAGCACAGTTCAATCATACAAGCATGGAAAGCATACAACTGAACTGAAAACCTACCAAACTGTGGAAAAGTTCATACACTTACCGTTTTTAAGGCAGTGAATTTAAAACCATGATTTTGAATTTGAATTTTGATGTATACATTGATTTTGCATTTCTTTTTGTATAGATGACATGGAGTACTGTAAGTAACATTGAATTTTATTTATTCATACTACACAAATGAGTGATACTTGTGCATTAAAATAAGTGTGACTATCTCCATCTCTCATTTCTCCTTCGGCCTGCCTCCTCCTCTCAGACGGTAGGAATTTGTAACATTTCAAATTGCATAAAAAACACATCTGTCAAAATTCAAAATTGTTTGCGCTCAATAAATGTAAATAGTTTAAAACCTTGACTTTTTTTTGTCTTTACAGATACACCACTGCCTCCACTGGACGACGGTGTTGCAGTAAGTGCTCCTAATCGTTGCTCACCATTTTTACTCATCGGTCCCTGACTTTTTATGAGTCTTAAAAAACATTTTTGTAGCATATATTTTCCTTTCTTTGCAATAAGATCACTAATCCTAACAATATATTTGCAACTCCTTAATACAATCATAAAATTATTATTTATTTTATTGACAGGTGTATGTAGTTGTGGGAATTGCTGGAGTTGCCTTGACTGGTTGTGTTCTGATGGTCATCATTCTGAAATATGGAAGGAACTCAAAGTTTGGTATCAAAGGTAAAATACTTCTTAAATTCACTTGTTTAATTGTTATTTATGAACATAAACTTATGTATTTTTGTTCTGTTTCCAACTCAGATTAGCAGTTTAAGTTATTTATGTTAGGTTGAGGTAAAAAAAAAATAAGATTCATATTTTGAAACATAATGAACCAAAAGCTATTTCAATCCAACCAAATATAGATTTTTATTATTATAAGCCTCATGTTTTACCTGATGTAAAAGTATAATTTAGTTTATCTAAAAAACAGTTAAGAAATCTTAGATTTTATGCTTCCAGTCAGATCAGTTTTAATTTGGGAAAAATAAATCTAAATGTCATAAATTACAAGCTCTTTTCATATAACCCTAACCCAAACTTCAAGATGACTCATATTTCGTTCAAATAAAACTCAGATATAATGTAATGTTTGTTGATAATTCAGAAAATATCATAATCAGCACAGACATAAAAATTATTCTTAATACACCAACATAACTTTACTTATGATTTCATTTTCAATACATTTAAGCATTTTAAAGATGTTATAGAGTTGAATTGTTTCATTTAATTTTGAATGCAGTATCCAACATATAAAATGGTCCTTAGATAATAAATATAAAAGCCCAGTCCCAAGAGGGATGGGCACTGGGCAGCCACATGAGTGCCCAGCTTTGTCAACGGAAAATGTTAGTCAGCGGCAGGAAGTTACAGAGAGACGGTAGGAGGTTTGTCAAAAATAAAATATAAAAATATAAATGATTAAAACTATGACAAAAAAAAAAACATAAATTAGCTGCTCCTGCTTATAAACCACGGGGTACAAAATGTGAGAAAAAAGTAGCGTCTTATACACTAGCAGTTACGGTATATATCTGTCTAAAACAGGTAAAATTAGTTCTCGTGACACAATGAGACTAACTTGCATAAATAAGGGTTGAATGAATGAATGAATGAATGAATGAATGAATGAATGAATGAATGAATGATGAAAAACAGTTGTATTTTTGTGTGGAAACAATATTTTTGCTCTCAAGTGCCTACTCCCATTCATATTTATTAACAGTCTATAAATAGGGTTTAAACACGCAAATGTAAAATGTGGCATAGCTGTGTTTAAAGTGGTGATTATCATATTTGCTAACAGTTAAAACTTTTTATTCATGTGATACAAACTTGATAACAGAATCAAATGTTCTGCACAGCACTGTGTACACATCTGCACCTAGAAAGCGTCAGATGACGTCCTCTTTGTCTCGTCCATCCTGATGACCAACATGCTACACTTCACTTTCTGCTGTCTTCATCTCGCCTTCTCCCGTTTCCTCCTCTTCCTCTGTGGCTCCCTAGGCTCCTCCTCAGTAATCAGCAATGATGATGACTCCGCCAGCCCTCTTCATCACGTCTCCAATGGCAACAACACCCCGTCGTCCTCGGAGATGGGTCCAGACGCAGTGATCATTGGGATGACAAAGATCCCTGTCATCGAGAACCCTCAGTATTTCCGTAACCCCGGCAGCATTCTGAAATCCGACACGTGTGAGTTACCATCTCGCCCGACAAAACGTTGGGTAACTCGGACCTTTTCTGATAAATCCATACGGGGATCAGCCCTAGGTGACATGTTTACAATCAGCATCCAGCTGCTTTGTGATGGTGACTCCTACTCCAGTGGCCAACTGGACAGCTACTCCAGAAAGAATGTTTACAAAACTACAAAAAAGGTTTAAGTCATTGAAATAGTTATTTTAATGAAATTATCAATACCTATCTTTAAAAATTAGACAAAATGATGCAATAGGAACACGGTTCTGTGTTCTAGGAGAGCGTTATTTATTAAAATCACATAAAATGATTTACTTATGTGACATTCTTTTGGATTTCATAAGAATTTTCTCCAAAATATATAGTGAAAAGTTGAAAATGCTCCCATGATCTTATGAGCGATATGATTTTTTTTTTTCCTGTGTTAAAGTTGTCCATCACATCAAAAGACACAACATTGTGCTGAAGCGGGAGCTGGGAGAGGGAGCCTTCGGGAAGGTGTTTCTCGCCGAGTGCTACAACCTGGTGCCAGACCAGGAGAAGATCCACGTGGCGGTCAAGGTACAGTAGATGTTTAGATCGCATGCTCGTTCTTGTAGGTCGTGCGTCTCACTCTTCTGTCCCCCATCAGACCCTCAAGGAGGCCACCGAGAGCGGCCGAGCAGACTTCTACAGAGAGGCAGAGCTCCTCACAAACTTGCAGCACGAACACATCGTCACCTTCTACGGCGTGTGCGTGGAGAGCGACCCGCTCATCATGGTGTTTGAGTACATGAAGCACGGCGACCTGAACAAGTTTCTCAGGTGGGAGCGTTTAGCCAGGAACAGTTTAAAACTTGAATCTTGTTAGGGTGATGTCATAGTTTGGTATGATCACATGGAACAGAGGTATGATCCAATAGGCCTGATTGTGTCGACAATAAATGGATTTTGAAAGATTTTATTTACGCAAAACATCAACAGGTGAGCAGCAACAGCGCTAAAATTGACAACATATTATCTGAGCAACAGAAAAACCATCTGCAACCATTTATAATGTGGCTAAAAGGTCAGAAAATGTAAAACTTATGAATATTAGCTGGCTCACTGATTCTAACATGAGGCAAGTTTGTGGCTAAAATCTTTATTTTGAAGAGTTTGCTTCAAAACATATTTGTATTTTGAAAAATGAAACTTCCCAGATAAGTGTTGTATCCTACTAGTCTTAATACTGATATTTGCCAAGGATTATTTTTTCCAAGAGATTTATTAAAATCCATTTGTGACACGTTAGGAACTTTATCTCCACTGCATTGTCACATTCATTGTTAAAGCCTGCTTGTTCTTTGGTGCAGGTCTCACGGTCCTGATGCGGTTCTCATGGCAGACGGTCAGCACAGTATCCTGGTGGAGCTCACTCAGTCCCAGATGCTGCACATTGCCCAACAGATTGCTGCTGGTATGGTGTACCTGGCCTCGCAGCATTTTGTCCACAGAGACTTGGCAACAAGGAACTGCCTGGTAGGAGAAAACCTGCTGGTTAAGATAGGAGACTTTGGCATGTCCAGAGACATTTACAGCACGGACTACTACAGAGTGAGTATTCTGCATCGCTTCTTCTTCACTTTGTTACTTCCATACGCAACCATACCAAGATCTGTTCACCAAATACTTATACACAGTAGTACATAAATATACTCTCACGTGCACAGAGACAAATATGTAACAGTGCTTATGATGAGTCAGCATCTAACTACCTTAGCATGCTTTTAACAGCTTTAATTACTGGGACATAAAAACGTTCAGCTTTTTCAGCAAATGGGTGCTGTGACTTTTGGTATTTGTAAGTTTTATACCTTGTAAAATCTTTAAATGTATTCAACTTTGTGAGTTCCATCAAAAATAATTGTTTTTTAAATTTACTATAGCTTTTAGCTGTGGTTTTGTTAATATTTGCTACTGTTTATGTTCATTTTAGCTTTCAGTGGCTATTTAGTTAATTCACCTTTTAGGTGTCATTTTCTGAATGTAGCTTTTTGCTTTGGTTTTGCTAATGTTA